GAGTATTTCCAGGTAGGAATCGAGCAGGTGAGGAGCAGAGTCCGGCTCAGCGCTCTGGGAGGCTGATCTCAGGGACCCAGTCGTTCAGGCGCCGGCTCTCCTCACAGAACAGGTGCAGCTTCTCCAGAGTGGGGTCCTCCCAAGACCCATCGGCTGGGTTCTGTTCAAAGAAAAGAACAAGTTTAGAACAAAGTTCTGCAATAAAATCACCACATTTCATCTAAAAATATATATATTTGTGAGGTGAAGCTTATTTTCTCCTGTTTATGCATGTTGGACCTTTGGGTGTCAGCCCCCCTGACCCTCCTCTTGGTGTCGCCTAGACGTACCGTAATGAGGACGCAGTGCGTGTCTTCCAGCTGCTCGGCCTTGTCTCCGACTATGTCGGCCAGACGCTGCATGTCGCTGACTCTGACGATGCTGATGTCGTTGTCGAAGCAGAAGGACTGGATGAGGGTGAAGTGGATCTGCAGAGCGATGTCACACTCAAACTGCTCGTCCATAGCCAGGATACAGAAGGAAACACTGTCTGGGTCTCTATGGACACAAAATAATAATCATCTATCTATTGGATGCTGCTGAGAAAAACTCACTCATGGGTCGCAGGAACATAAAGGGCAGTATACTCACTCAGTCATGATCTTAGCACTCTCGTAGACCCCAATGGTGAGCCGGTCCTCACTCTGAGCACAGACAAGAGCTTCTCTCATGGACTTTCCAGGAGACTTCATGGTTTGTTTGACACAGAAGAGCTCAGAAAGCGAAGAGGAGAAGAGTGTTTGCTTCCCTGAGTGTCATTCAGCTTTTATAAGGCAGAGTCGGCACGCGCTCGTCCTCTGATTGGTTCCCTTCAGGACAAAAGCAACAACTGGCTCCGCTCCCCCCTCCGTGCCCTGAAGGCCGCGTGCCTTTAGAAAACACTCAATCGGGGGACGGCTAAATGTAAAAACTGTGACCTTCAAGTGATTCTTACAAAACAGAAAAGGAATCTCTAAACATCTTCACAGTGTTTGAGGAAAACAAGGAAGAAGTTATCAAGTCAGCATCCGATTAGCTGGACTTTATCAGGATGAAAAACACAAAATACAGAATCCTCTTTCACAACTATCTCTGCCCTTCCCTCTAAATATGTTGAATAATCTGCTCTGCCAGAAAGAAAGCATTTGTTCTCCTTTATATGTTGTAAACATTAAAAGTAGACAGAGAGAGCGATACTCAAGGATCCCTAAAATCTCCCTCCATCATCCAGACTCTTTGGTCCTGTCAGGATTTTGGTCTT